TTCGCGTGGATGTGTGGAAAGAAATTTCTGGGCGGGGATACTTGTCTGGGAGTTGTATTTGTTTGACCGTCGTATTGATAATGAACGCTTTGATTGATTGATATGTGGGCCTTAACGTCCCAAAACCACCATTTGATTATGTGAGACGCCGTAGTGGAGGACTCCGGACATTTAGACCACCTGGGGTTCTTTAACGTGCACACAAATCTGAGCACGCGGTCCTAATGAACTTTTTAAAAATATGCGATTGGAGACGTGTGACGACAGCGTTCGCCCGTAAATATATAGCACAGCGAGAATTAGCTTTTGTTCTTAACGTCACGCAAACTTGAAAGAGTCGGATATGTGGTTTACAGTTGAGCATGTGTCGTTATGTCTGTGAGAAGGATTACAGTTGTCACAAATGTCAGTGAATAGCTCTTGGTGGACGTTTTCTTTTTTTCGTTTCGTCTTATGTCCAGTAATTAACGCGTGCAGGCACTTACACCCTGTGGCTCTAATGAAGCATGGAATATCGAGTCCAACTGCCAGTAGTGACGATGCATGTTGCCAACAGGAGCTCGCAATCTTTTTTGGGGATTGGTCGGTGCGCTTGTGCAACCACTCAGGGGAAAATAAAAAAAAAACATCGAACGATTCCGGCAATTCATCTTGCTGACAAAGACATATCACATGACATGTGTCGGTCTAGCCGTATTGATATGATAAGTAGAAGCCAGATTTATAGACAGGAAAAAAAAAACAGGATTTAGGCGTCAAAATAGGCGGACAAAACACTGTTTTAGGCCCCCAAATTCGTAAATATAGGCGCAATAAATTTTAACTAAATTCATATTTTCGAATAAATACGTGCGGGATCTCTGTATACGACAGGAAAGCCAACAGAAATGTTTTAGTTTATGACGTTATGCAAAGTCGCCAACAGTTCAGCGTAGCCATGAAATGTTCTTTCCCGCAGAGTTTGCGGGAAAGGTAATAAAGTGAAAGTGAATACGGTCTCCCCTATTCTAGTCCAGCTTTAGTGTCCATTGTCGAACAAAGATGCTCCTGAGTCCCTCTTTTCGGCGTCGCTGAGAAGGGCAACACAGGAGCAAATAGTCATAGCGCATATTGGCCAGAAGGGCCATTTTGCTTCGTATTAGCTAGGTTTAACTGCGCAGGGTCTGTTCTGTCTGTGAGCACATCTTGAAGGGCCCTTCATCGTGTTTGAGAATTTCGAGCTGACAAGAGGAACGCATGCACTGGGCACTCACGATGTCATCTCCCAAGATTTGCAATTCTACGGGCCCCGGAAAGAGGTGAAATGTCATACTGAACGCCGCATGACCTTATCTCCCGGGCGCATCCCCCAACATGGTGGACGTGACGTATACAACAAGGAATGGCCCTGCGTACGTCAGAGTATAGTACGTCACACTGCGAGAATTATTCGAGGCGATGTGTGTCATTTGTGCAATCTGTTGCCTGAATAGAAGGTCGACAGAAATATTAAAACATACAAACGGAATCTGTACTTCGTATCGAGCGAGATGCGAGACCAAGCTGCCTTCATTTCGTTGGCGTTGGTGTTCTCGCCGTTCTCGCATCGTGCCGGGGCCACAATCCGCAACGCTTGGCGTGTTTCGAACACCAAATTTCAGAAAATTATGTATTAGCAAGAATTAACTCTGACAAACGCTAAATGTCTTCCGAGAAAAAAAAATGAACTCCTGAAAACAGCCTCCGAATTTCAAGAAAAATTAACTCTGAAAGCACGGAGAGCTAATAATCCGGCAAGGCATTCGATTAACCTGTTGTCTGTCAAGTGTCTGTTTTGGGGGAACGTCGTCAGGTGTCCTTTGTGCTATAGTACGTTGTGCGCGTTCTTTCAGAGACACTTATATTGTGACAGTTTGGTGCCGCTTGTGACACCACATTTTTTGCGATACAACAATCTTTCGTTTTAGTGCTTCTGTTGAAACAACTGAGAGGCAATAGAATTCTCTTCTGTTGTCGCGACAAAAGTTTTTTTATCGTGCAATAAAATGTATTTCTGTATCAAGAATATGTAGTAGCTGCAGTTAAATCTTTATGTAACAACAGCAATTGCTGTGGTCATTGTCAACTTGAATTGGGCCAAGTGATGTACTACGTGTTAATGTGGATTGCTTCAAGGAAAACGTCTATAGTCAAGTCTCACGAGGTCTTTCAAGTCTTTATTTGTCCCTTAAGTTCCTTGCTTGGATCGATGCTTATCAGAGGAATCATACTATATTACGTTAATATTAGTTATCAATAGACCTCTCCGAATTACCCATGGGGAAATCATACTGCACATTGTATTTTCAATGACTTTATTGGTAGAAGTTTATGCTGACAACGGGGATTATCTCCTATTCATATGATTGGGGACGATGTGTAATGTTTACTGGCGCAAGGCCGCGATAAGTGATCAAATGGCGCCATAATTTACAAACTATGTGCTATATATATATATATAGGATCTGGAGCTTAAGAATGCCTTAGAATCGGTGCTTTTTGACTTGTCATTCGCGAGACAAGTGGACACACCCTTAGCTGAACGACATCTTTTGAAACTTGCAATTGAAGGGCACACGCATTGAAGCTAATTGGAAAAGATTATCTGGCGGTTTAGTAATTTCGGAGTTATATATTATGACTATCACACAGTTCATAATGCCCACTAAAGTGCGAAAATATGGGCATTATTACATTTATGTTGTACGTAAGCGCAAGAAAAGCTACCTGTTCGGCCTCTATCCCGCAGTAGTGTGTGTGACATACCCTGCATGTATACATAGGCATCTGCCCTCTTTTTTATACGCCGGAGATTGCACACGTATTTCTTTATTTTATTATTTTATTTACTTGGTTTCTATGTTTTCGTGCCTTTCTTCAATATGATGATGACGGGACCTGCAGCAGCGGTCTATTAGTTACGGTGAGTGACTGCTGGAAAGCAGGTCGCGGGGTCGAGTTTCGATGGCGACGGCCGTATTTTCGATAGAGTCGACAATGTTCGATGTGATTAGATCTAGCTGCACGTCAACGAACCCGAGCTGGTTGAAATTTCGGGAGCCCATCGATTGTTGTGTCTCTCATAATCATATCGTGATTTTGGAATGTAAACAGTCGCGTATCTAAGTAGTGGCACGCCAAGCTAGTGCCCCCCCCCCCCCTCTTCCCGAAATTTCTTTCACCATGGCTTACAGAGTGAAAGATTACCATATCAACAGAATTCCTCTTCCTTACTTTCACCCCCTAAAATCAAAGAGGTGCCCCTTGACACCGAAACAAAATTTTTGCCTACGCTCCTGGACGTAACACACAGATGGATGACAGTATATAGCCGGTCGTGACGCAGTCTGCCTTCTCGTGTTTTTCATATGCAAATAAAATGATCAAAAAAATAGACAACCATTTGTTTGCAGCACGAACCAATAAGGAAATCTACATAGAGTTCTCAGAAAGGAAATGCGTATTAATAGCCAAAAAAATCGTCCTGTACCGGGAATCGAACCTGTGACCAATGCCTTTCCGGGGATTGAGATTGCCACGAAGCTATAGATAAAGTAATTAACCGCGATAGGGTGAATGAGTCTACAACTCAAAGCGGCAATTTCTAGTTTCCCGGTTAGCGCATATTACTGCCCCGGACAGCTGATTTTCCGGGCAGCGGCCTCACCGCCGAGGCCACGCTCGGTGATGTTCTCCGGCGGCGAGGTCACCGGTCGTCCAGCTCATGTCGTCATAATACGGAAAGGCGGGCTAGTTCGTTTCGCTGCATACAGAAACTTTAGTGTGCACACACAAGGGCACAGACGAAAGGATCACAAGGACCAGCGCAGAATGACAACTGACCTGTATTCAATAAGAAAACAGAATATATACTCTTTGTTTAATGAAACGGATGTTCTGAACGTTCACCCTAATCAGACAAGGAAAATCACAGAAGTGTGGCATATCTCTAGACTTAAAGACATGTGCGTCGGTCACCCTTAAGTATCGCTGAATGAAAAAGAAATTGACTTGCTAAACAAAATGTGCTATATGCACGTGGTCTCCATGAAAGGATTCATTAGCTAATGAGAAGGAATATACTATGTCGTTTTGCTTATGCGCAGTGATTATGAGGTGCTGAAGAAGGTATATATTCTGTTTTCTTATTGAATAAAGGTCTGTTGTTACACTGGTTTTTGTGATCATTTCGTCTGTGTTCTCGCGTGTGTGCACTCATGTTTCAGTAATCATGTTGTCAGTCTGCAGTGCGCTCCCATTGGTGGAGGCCTGTGTGCATCCGCCTAGCTTGGAGGAGAAGATGAGGAAATGCCAAAGGTTTGTGAAGTCGTGTCACCCTCAGAAGCTTCATGTCCGAGATGTTCTCATGTCTCTTCATGCCCCTTTATGTCCTCATGGCTTCGAGCTACAAAGGGGCGGTTGTCTGTTGCGGGATTCCGCAGAACCGATTCGCTATAAATAAAATAATTTTCTCTTGCAGTTCTTGCCGGTGCTTTGTATGGTATAGATTAAACTCTATCCAGGTACTGAATACCAACTTTTTGGTTGACGCAAGTGCCTCTCATTTTGGTGCAGTAAGACTTAACTTCACCACCGTTTCGTAGGCCTTCTGGACCGTCTATGCGTGGTCTGAAAGAGGCTCCACTGTGAAGGACTCTTTGCCACCAGGATCTTCCTTTTCACAGTTTGTGAAAGCCACAGGACACCGGCAAATCGTATACTTCAAAAGTTATGATGTCATTACAGTTCCCATAATTAATTTACACCCTAATTTCTGGATATATCTTACTAAGAAAGTTTGGATTCAGGCAAGATGTTGTGTCTACCAGCCTCAGAGCCTGGGTGGTGTTCCTTTTTCAAAGACAATTCTTGGCGCATGCAGTTGTGCCAAGGGCGGCCCAGGATTCATGGAGAGAGCACGTTCTCAATACCCTGAGCAATGGTCAGAAATGGACCGATTGATGCTTCATCTGGGCACGAGGATGAGCGTGCGTGATCCGGGCTTCCTGCACGCTGTCTACAACCGTCACAGCTGGAGCGACGTCATGGCCATGAAGGGTGGTCGGGAAGTCCTTGCAGGCGTAAAGTACCCGGATGCCGACATCAGGCGGTCTCTGTATGCTTCCTGGCTGAGGATCTTTGCCTCCGGCGTGTGGGACGACTCGTTCGGCCATCTCATGCTCGAGTGTGTAGCTTGCACTCCTTCGCTGACGACTCCTGGTACACCCCTTTTCGCCGACCTTTACAAGGTTGGTTGATTATTTCGTCTATGTTCTTACGGGGAGCATTTGTTCGGTGGTTTACCCGGCTGGCCATGGTCGTTCAGTGCGCCCGCGACTGGGCTGTTAGGCTTGACCTGCTGGTCCTCACGTGGGGGTATAGCCGGGTGGCATGGAGCAACCCAACACCTTCTAGACTAGCTAAGTCATCTTATTATCCTCCTGTCCTAGCACATACGTCACCACACTATGACTGAGTTGCTTTGTCGGCGTTTCGGGAAAGGGGGCAGCATGGAACGAATGAATTCGCAACGTGTCGTAATGCGAGAGCATGCAGAAATGTGCATTTATGAGAACGCGTTCTCCGCGCCCGTCGTAGTGTGACGACGTCCCTGAAGATTCAAAAGGCTTTAGCTCTGGAGGATGCTGGGCAACCTCTTAAAAACGTTTACTGCTCCGCCGCGGTGGTCTAGTGGCTAAGGTACTCGGCTACTGACCCGCAGGTCGCGGGATTGAATCTTGGCTGTGGCGGCTGCATTTCCGATGGAGGCGGAAATGTTGTAGGCCAGTGTGCTCAGATTTGGGTGCACGTTAAAGAACCACAGGTGGTCTAAATTTTCGGAGCCATCCACTACGGCGTCTCTCATAATTATATGGTGGTTTTGGGATGTTAAACCCCACATATCATTATAAAAACGTTTACTCTCTCTCTCTCTCCCTCTCACGCTACATTTGATGGAAAACGCGTGCTTCAGGCCCTAATGTAACCTGTTGAAGTGTCATCGTAAAGATAGACCGTTATGGACGGCACTTTTCTCCTTTTCCTTTTCATAACCACCATAACATTTTAGAGGCCCAAATGTAAGCTAGAACACTCAGAAGATCATATATACGATTGCACATGCGATTGCACATGGCGTGGACTGGCAGATGATTGGGCAGCTGACGGAACTTTTACGTTACTCTTAGACATACCAATATTGTAGCCATTTTTATGTAGCATAATTTAGTGCAAGATGCACATGCGTGTCATGACCGACCTTGGTGCCTTGTGGTTCGTGAATGACTCTCGCTCTCATAACAAGGCGTATTAACGTGTTTTAGTTTCAATTTGTCGTGAGGCCCAGACATGGCGTCGTGGTGCGATGTCACAAGTTTCGCGGTGCACGTCTTCGAGGGGCACGAAGGTGCGGCAGGTTGTGTCAAGCTGAATGTATTTGTCTCCACGAGCCTTGGCAAGTGGGTGATGCGTCCCGAAAAGATTACATTAAAGGAGCCGCGTTGCGCTGTTAACCTTTGAAAGAAAACATTGCTCTAGGCAGTCTCACCCAAATATAAATTCTTCAGGTCACTTTCTGTAACGCCATATTCTGTAAGATCATGTCTTATGGGAAGAGCAGTACGAATGTACAAAAACTGACATGGCAATTGTCTTTTTTTGGTCTCTTTGTATGGTGCATTCCAGTTACACGACATCGTCCTTGACCGGACCCCGCCCTTTGAACCTGTCTTGAACCTCAACGAAATCCCCACCCTTTTCGAAGGCAGACCCACAGACTTCGAGCCCCTACCTGAATCGCCGGGACTCGTCGACTTCTTGGCGGACTTGATAAGGACGAGTCCATGTCATCGTGAGGCCCTCGACGAAGCGGGAATGATCATCGGCTTTTATAGCCTAGCACTAGCCGTAGTCGCAGCCAAGCCGGTGATTAACGTCGAGGACTTCTTTTGTAAGCGGATGAAGAGCGCCCTGTCCTCGGTGGTGCCGACGTCCTTCGATGGGGACGCGCACTGTCCCAACGGGAGGTTCTTGACGCAGCTCGCTCTCAAGTACCACCGCAGCGTGGTGAAGCAACACGTCGGGCTCCTGGTCCTCGGTCAGTACGCCTACCACCTAAAGAACGATGCTGGCTTCAGGTAACGTGCATCGCTTGCCTGCACTATGATGCTTTGACTTCTGATACATATGTGGTTTCATTTCATTTCATTTTATTTCCTTAAAGACCCCTTGCGGGGCATTACATAAGGGGTGGGTACATAAAAATTGAGCAGAAAACAATCGTTTGTCTTAAAGTGAAAGATGATTAGTGATACTGGTTGTGAAGGTAGAAGTACAAGTAATGGCAGGAATGTCGCCTGAAAGGCCATTCCAGGCAACTGCTGCGCGAGGAAAAAATGATGTTGAAAAGGTAACGGTGCGTGCACGTGGGCGTGCGACTTGAAGAGGATGATTAGTTCGTTGAGAGATGTGCGCTGGGGGAACAAAATAAGGTGTCATGCGCATCGAGCTATGAAAAAAACTTATGAAATAACGAAAGACTGGCGATACGGCGGCGGAGGGAAAGGAGGGGCAGTTGAAGTTCTGCCTTTAGTGAAGCTACGCTGACGTCATGGGAGTAAGAATTATTGATAAACCTAGCGGCACGGTTTTGAATACACTCAAGGGCGTCTTCAAGATAGGCCTGTTGCGGGCTCCAGATGGGGGAAGCATATTCAAGTTTAGGTCTGACAAGGCTTTTGTAAGATAATAATTTTACATTTCTAGGTGCGTTACGTAGATGACGTCGCAAGAATCCCAATGTTTTGTTTGCCGATGATATGACTTTCGTGATATGCAAACCCCATGAAAGATCGTTGCAGAGTGTGACCCCCAGATATTTAAAAGAATTAACAGCTTCAACTGAAACATTACTGATGGAATATGGAAAAACAAGTGGAGAACGGCGGCGGGTGAAGGATAAGGCTTTGCATTTGTGAGGGTTAAGTTCCATTAGCCAATCATCGCACCATTGTTTTACATTGTTAAGATCACTCTGTAGAGCTAATTGATCAGAAGCGTTACAAACAGTGTGGTAAATAACACAATCGTCAGCAAACATTCGGATTTTACAGGATACATGAGTTGGGAGATCGTTAATAAATATCAGGAATAAAATCGGGCCCAGAACCGACCCCTGCGGGACACCAGATGTTACCGGAAGTGAAGTAGAGGTAGCATTGTTAACAAAGACAGCTTGAGTGCGGTTACTTAAAAATTCACGGATACACTTTAGGACGTCGGGGTGTAGGTTTAAGCGGGAAAGTTTCAACAGAAGGCGTTTATGGGGGACTTTATCGAATTCTTTCGCAAAGTCCAGGAATATGGCATCAGTCTGTACGTTAGAATCCAAGTTAATTCTGTACGTTAGAATCCAAGTGGTCATGACTGCGTGAAACAGTATGTCGCATTTCATATGTTACATGCGCAGGGGTGCTCGGGGGTGGGGGGGAAGGAGGAGAGGATGCCCTCTAATTACCTAGTGGGGCACAAACTGCCCCAATTTTTTACTCAGTTGACCATCTCCCGTCATTAGTCCTTTCATTTCTTTACTTGCTTTCATTGCAAGCAACCAAGCTACGATTATAGCCACCAAGTGATGGCGGTGGCCAACATTAAAGCTGCACTGAGACCGCTGGAGGTGCATGCTCGTCAGTGAGTCACGCCGCAAATATATGAAACAGGTTTTCAGAAGAAAAGTAGATAAGGACTACATCAACTGTGTAATACAACAAGAGAGGGCAGGGAGGCTAACAAGGCTCATAGCCGGTTGGTTACCCTACGCTGGGAAAACGGTAAATGTGACAGAAGGGTAAGGAGAGAAAAATAAATGAGAAATGGATCATAAAAAAAACGAAAACCCGAAAACAACTGCTCACACACACTCACGCACGATAGTGTCATATAGTCGTTTATGTAGGCAGCTCGGTTGACTGCAGAAACTTGAGCAGCGCCTTCTGGTTAGAAGCTCGAACTTTCGTCCAGTCATCGAGCCGTGCTGAAGTTGTCTAAAGCGATCGGTTTACAGTCAAAGCTGTTACGAGATCACAACGCGGGTCACGTGCGCGCCATAGTTTTCTGCCGCCGCCGCCGCCGCCGTTGTCCGTAACCACTATCACACGCAATAAGAAAATAAATAAACTCAGTAAATAAAAAAAACGTGAAGGACATACGTTGGGATCGGAACGCGAGTCTCCTGCGGGCTAGCCCAGTATTCTACCGCTCTGTCATGCCGGTTTTTTTTTTCTGTACCCAATGAGAAACGCCGGCGCTTGGAACTCCTTTGCAGACAGGTCCTAGGCAGGTCTGATGTCGAGAAAAGAATCGCGTTAGTAGGAGTAATAAAGCGTTTTAGAACAGTAAAGGAACAACCAGGTGTCACATAATGGGAATTGCGCGACGGGCGGGTCGTCGAATATCCCAACCCATCACGAAAGCTCGATGTTGTTCACCTATTAACTGTGGCGCATACCCAATGTGGGGTATTGTCGGGATTTCAAAAGCTTCTGGCATAATTATTCATTGTCGTCAGCCACAGCGCCGAATATTGCACAAAGTTTCTTGCGAGTGTGCAGAGGATATCACGCTTCTCCGAAGAATTACGAAGCATGGCATAGCGAATGCCTGCCTATACTACACAGTGAAAGATGGCGTAGTGGGTACCCTGCAAGTGTGCTTGCAGCAGCTACCAAGAGAGTTTGAAAAAAAGCGTTCTGCAAGGCCACTCTTCCTGCTTTCGCAGTGACAGTGCTGCGCGTTGCGCGCAGGTCAGGCAGTTTTGGGGGAGCTCCTCCGGCCGCTTGTGTCTTGAATTGTCAATCACAAACAGCTTTGTTTACCGAGTCACAATGGCAGACACTGCTGCCTGTCATTACTGCGACAGCGATGAAACCAATGAACACGTCCTTTGTGATTGCCTCAAAAAGGAGTAATCAATTGCGAAAGTCAGAGCTGGAATGCTGGCTTATGACAATAGCGGTGGTTGAAGACTCCTGCAGGCCCTCTTGTTGCATTCCTGTAGAACTGTTTGCTTCCAGGATCGACGCAATGTTGTCACGTTCTGTTAGCTGAACACTGTAAAAATAAAGCCTTTGGAGAGTATTTATTCCATGGAACAACAATCTTCTCCTGAATTTTCGCGTTTGAGTACAGTGAGGCTTTCGACTTGTTCTGTTAAACTAACATCGACTATATCTTTTGGACCACTTTTATTTCATCGCATTTACATTACAGGCACTTCAAGTAACGTCCTCTATGCTTTCCCTTGGCATAATTGTCTGTTATATCTCATTAGTACTGTGTCTAACAAAGAAGAACGAGCCCTTAAATGTACATGACTGGCATCGGTAATTTTTGCCGTATATACTCTAATATAGCTAATTCATTTTGCCATACGCTAATTCACTGCTTTCCCACTTGATATGAATGTGCAGCGCCGACCAAAGATTTCTGGAAGAAGGTTTTCCTGGCACAGGCAAAGTTCGGACATCTTGAAGTAGTGGAGCTTCTCTACGAAGTGGAGGGGAATTACTGGCCTCAGTGCTCAGAGCCTCAACCGAATTCTCTGCGAAGGCCTCAGGCGCGACGCTCCAGTCTCAAAGTCTGGTGTAAGCGTCGCTATCTACCTTAACGGAGCGGAAGAGCCGATGCAGCGTACGAGACCCTGGAGTCGTGCATCCAACTACTACTACTTCGCGGACCTGGACCTTGTCGAAAACGTGGAGTACGCCATGCGGTTGACGGCGATCCTGGCGCCTGATCGTCACGACCAGATGTGGCAGAGGGAGGAGTTCATAAACTTCCCTGGGCGCAAGAAGGAAGCGCGACTATGGGCCAAGGGCTTCGTTCGTGCCTTCTTCCGAGGAAAGTTTGCACGACTGGCCAAGCCAGACTCTTAGAGAAATGAGGTTGTTAAGTGTCCAACGAGAATATTGCGCAGTTCTTGCGAACTTATGGCATGTCGCTTTAATGATACTTCTCGAACAAATTTTGATGTGAACGCCGTTCAGGCGCCAATAAACTCCTGGTACCCTTATGCACTCGTCTAAGACGACTCTAGGACAAAATCAATCCTTTTTTTTTCCTTCCCAGTTCATCCTACTCTCCCCACCTCAAAAGCTTTCTGCTACTAAAGAGGTTCTACACTGACGAGCCATCCTGGCGACTCAGAACGACGACTTGTTGAAGGGGAAGGCGCGCGGGAAGTAGAACGAGAAGTTCCTTTTAAACTCCTTTGAATGTAAGGTGCCAGTGCCAGTATATTCTACTAAATAAGTGTGAAATATGTAACCTAGGCGTATAGATGAGTGTTAATGATGTGTAAATGTATATGTCACTCATCCAGACTGTATTAGATAACAGGGAATGAGATCTCGTCAGGCTTTCAGCCTTTAGTCTTAGCCTCCCGCAGGAAAATTCTGTATTTTTTCATGCGAATAAACAATGTGTAATGTTGAGTAAAAGAGGCACATTAACACACTTGTCCACACGATCCTCACAAGAGAGCATAATGACGCCCAGAGGTAGTTCCTAAAGAAAGTTTTGAAGCGCCTCTTTCAAAAGAGTCATATACGTGGCAAGCTAAAACTCCCAAAAGAGAGTGAAAAGACTCTTTTTGACAATTTTGTAACTCTACACTTCTAAGAAGAAAAAAAAAAATGGAGTAATTGCGGAGTGGTTCTGCTACACATTCGATCATCGTCATGTGACTTGCTCGCATTTCCTTTTTTGAAAACCTGGCGCTGGCCTCTTGCGGCTGTCGGAAATGCTATGTCACACTGATTGATAACGCGTGCGCCGCTCAGCGACCGCTAACTACCGGAACCGTGGTGAGAGCTCGAGGAAATTAAGTACTCGAAGTAGATGACGGCTAGGCTTGCGTAGCAGAAGCCCTCCCCAATTACTCGACGTTTCTTAGAGTGTACGCCCATGGCGGCGTCCTACGAGGAACCCCAACCCGATTTCCGCCCACCCCCATTACCTTCCCCCACCCATCCCAAATGCACTGTGACAACATAACGGTTAAAGGGGTCCTGCAACACTTTTTCACCATGGTAGCGGCAGCCTCGACTACTATATTTATTTATTTATTTAAGGAATACTGCAGACAGTTTTTCACCATCCTAGGAGGAGAGGGTTACATAAGGTTCCTAACACAGAGGTCGAAACTAGAAGAAGTCGGAGCGTGCACGCAGTCGGAAGGCAGTGAATTCCAGTCTTCGATGGTTCTTACAAAAAAGGAGTACTTGAATGTGTTATTTTTAGGAGCATACGGTCTTACAGTTTTTGAATGATTTAACCTTGCTGAGCGCTGAGGAGGTGGCAGAATGTACAATTCCTTATTTAAACCAGATTCATTGTTGTATAGTTTATAAAAGAAGACTAACCTTGCAATTCTTCGCCTACATTCCAGTGGTTCCAGCTCACATTTATTTAACATTTCAGAAACGGAGGAGAGGCGCCTAAAGTCTGAAAAAATGAACCGTGCGCTTAGCCGCTGAATCCTTTCCACTTTATCTATGTCATTCTTTAAATATGGGTCCCACGCAAGGGATGCGTATTCTAGCACTGGTCGAACTAGGGTTTTATAGGCTGCAAGTTTAACTTTCCAATCAGATGACCTCAGCTTCCTTCTTAAGAAGCATAGCTTCTTGTAGGCCTTGGCGCAAACGTTGTCGATGTGAGCGTCCCAGCTAAGTTTCGTATTAATGGTCAATCCCAAATATTTTACGGTATTAACAAATTCAATACTTTGGTTACGGACATGGTATTTATATTTAAGAGGAGTTTTCTTGTGTGTTACTGTAAGAGCGCAAGTTTTTGAGTAGTTAACAAACATCTGCCACCTCTCACACCAATCAGCAATTTTGCACAAGTTGTCGTTAAGCAATGATTGATGCAAGGGGCTACTGACAGTTGTATAAATAACACAGTCGTCTGCAAACATTTTCACAGTCACTCCCGCGTCAATATGATCGCAAATATCATTCACATAGATCAAGAACAAGAGTGGTCCCAAGACCGACCCCTGGGGCACTCCTGACAATACATCAAGGTTTTGTGATTGGCAGCCGCTAATTTCTACAAACTGCGTTCTGTTTTTCAGATATGCAGAAATCCACTCCACGAGGCGGGGAGCAATCCCTACACGCTGCATTTTTCGTATCAGTAAAGAGTGTGGTACCCTATCAAAGGCTTTTGATAGGTCCAAAAATATTGCATCTATTTGTTTTCTGTCATTGATAGCATCAGCGAAGTCGTGTATGACTGATACGAGCTGGGTCGTCGTTGATAACTTTTTTCTAAACCCGTGCTGGAAGCTGCCTAATATGTTTTTTCATTCAAAGAACGAAGTTATCTGGCTGGAGAGGATGTGTTCAAGTAGTTTACAGCAACTACTGATTAATAATATGATCGGTAGTCGAGGCTGCCGAACACATAATAGGGTGATACAATAGCGCAGCATGCGGCCAGCGATTCGTAATAAATTTTCCAAGTCAGCTAGAAATCACTTTCTCTTCCCTCAACTTATGACGCTACAGACTCAAAAATTGCTGCGTCACGCGCCAAGCATCACCCATTGGCTGATTTGAGCAGGGCGTGCTCGGTCGTTTCTGGGGTTGCCGTGAGAGGAGGCTGCGACTCATCCACGCGTGCGGGCGCGATCAACACTGAAAAGTCACGCATTCGAAGAAAAAAAAAAATCGCCAGATCCCACGTACCTTGCGAATCAACGTTATGCGAAGCATGCGAAGGGAAGGTGAGCGTCTCGCAATTTTTTTTTCTATTGAGCGACACGTCATGAAATGACGCTCAATATATGTACAAATGTCGTACGCACAGACATATGTTGAAGAGTCGCAAATGTTTATATACCCAGTTGTTTGTACTTGCGCGAGGATGCCGACAGGAACATGCGTATTAGCAACACCAGAAGCTGATATGAAGCGCTGATGCTCGCGAGGACGCTGGCCCTGGACACTGCATACTACATAAATCAACGTCCGCGCATGGCACCTAACCACAATTGACGTTAACCCGACGTGACGGCTGTATGAAAGGAGTAAATATGTAATGTTTTATAATGTCGGATAGACAGCACTGCAACCACTATTGACGTTTCATGAAGATTATATAGCACCTATTTGAAAAGCAGTTCCGAGACCTGGCGTAGCTCTGTGGTGAAATGCTTAATTGCCACGCAGAATGCTTGGGTTCGGTTCCAGCTTGGACCCTGACAACCAATTAAAACCGGAGTACCATCGCACACACAACCAATTAAAACCGAAGTACCACAAGGCAGTATTCTGGGGCCTGCATTGTTCTTATACTACATAAATGATATAGTCAGAATTTGTGAAAATTGTAACTTCATAATATATGCTGATGACTGCACATTATTTTTTACTGGAAAAGATTTCAGTACTCTCGAGGCTTTGGCGGCCAACACATGTTATAAGCTCCGTGAATGGTCTACCAAGAACAATTTAATGTTAAATGAATCAAAAACAAAATGTGTCCTTTTCCGAGCTCTCGGCATATCCCTGCATGTACCAAATTATGTTACCCTAGGCTCCTACAAAATTGCTGTGACCAAATCCATTAGGACGCTTGGAGTAGTTTTTAATGAACATATGTCCAGGAATAGGCATACAGACCTCATTAGTTTAAAGTTGAGACGCGTGGTTGGCACTCTAAATCGTTGTCGACGTCTTTTGCCCCTTACTGTAAAGCGACTCTTATATCGGGCTCTTTTCCATGCCCACTCGAACTACTGCGCTTTAGTATGGGCAAACACTACGTCAACAAATTTAAATAGGCTAAAAATGCTTCAGAAAAGAGCGATCAGGCCAATAGAAAACATATCGTACCTTGAACACACAGGACAACTCTTTGTTAAACGTAAAATTGTTAAGGCAAATGACACGTGCAAATTCAGGTTGTTACAATCCTATTTTAGCGCAAACAGAGGGAAACTCGACGCATTCCTGACACTTGCAAATCTTGAACATACACAAACCATTTACTTCCATGCATTGATATAAACCCCCGTGAAAAATTCCGTTATCTCGCACCGATTACGGCACCCGAAGGTTTAGCCACATGCTACCTATACTATACTGAACTCATACGAGCAGCAAGACATAAAAATTGACACATTAAACAATATCGATGTGCAAACACTATTCTTGTAGATTTGTATTGTTTACATAGGTCACTCTGTATTGCTTTGCATCATTTATTGTGTACCTTTATATATTTTTATTTTTTCTTTATTATTTCTTTTGAGTAACCTCATTGTAAACCTTTCTTATGTACGAAAGCGATGATACATACTCTGCGAATTACTGTGCTCTTGTGTTTATGAATTATTCCTTTTTGTTTGTATACCTTGGCCTGTCATTTACTTTGCCTTCTGCTTGTATTGTTTCTTGTATTGTAATATTTGTTTTTTCATTTTATTCTATTTCGTTTTTACCCTGTCATTGGTGACGTAGGGTCGACGGTGCTTAGTCAAGCTGCAATAACGCCGTCTCCCCATTTTTCGCCATTGTACTTGTTTTGGTGAAAAAAAATATAAAAAAAAATATTATTCTTTGCATTCGTCGTGTCGACGCTACCGATGTCAGATATTTCTGAACACTCGTGCGTTAAAATTGCCCATGTGTGTTCTCGTCGTTCCTTGGTATAGATACTTAGTGTCAATCATCTGTGGCACATATTCGCATACCAGCGACACATACCCGCCCGTGGGCACGTGCCACTGTCTGGCGGTAAGTGTTTGACGACGTACGCGACGGGAATGTGACAGTATTAAACAGTGAAACAGGCTAACTGAAATGCAAGTACATAGTGGGAACGAAGGTATATTTTATTCACTGCTGTAAACCCGTGTTGTAACCTGAACGAAGATGTATTGATGTGTGAACAAAATTCTACTATGTGTGTGAACGAAAATGTATTTCAGTTATTTATGTGTGAACAAAGTTGTATTGTGTGTGTGAACGGAGATGTACGTCATTTATTGATGTAACC